TACAGCATAAACAGACAGCTAATGTTAGAAAATTATAGGAAGCTTATTAAGTCATCTTTAAAAATACAAATAAATCCGTCAACTTGCAATAGGCAGATATTGATTGAGTCAATTTATTAAAATAATTTGGTTGCCATGAAATATTTGTGAAGTGCTAAATTACTTTCATCTAATATGGAGGAGTGAGATGGTTGCTATTGCTTCTGTAGGAATGAGTCATACAGAAGACCTTTAAGTAAAAGAAATTATGCCATTGCGCTTGAGCTCGTGAATGAGGTAATCAGTGGCTCGCCTTAAATGAGAAGACGGAGAGAGTCCTTTTTAATGTGAAAAGTAGTCTAAAAGCAGGCGGTTCACCTTATTTTAGCATTACGTCCAATTGTGGACTAAATCATCTTAGGGCCTGCAAATGTGTAACCTATTTTTAAAGAAGAGGGCCCCGGTTACCTCACTCACCACAGGAAAATCGAAGGTCTGTAAGGACGTGTTACTTCCCGGCACGGCAGCCCATTTGTAGGCAGGGGAGTTTTGAGTTAAGCCCTATGACAGCGATAAACCACTTCTTGAATGTTGAAACCCAGTTACCACCACTAGTATCAGCCTATCTGCCACTGCTGCGCAAATGCCTACTCTGTACAGAGCGTATCAGGCCATAGTTCACCACGCGGCCCCACTGCGGATTGGCGGACTTCACATATCTTCGAAATATTTTATTTATTATTATTTCAAAAGTATGCAGGTTCCTCACGATGTTTTTATTCACGTGATAAGTCAGCATTTAAAACTAACAATTTAATTGGTGCCGGTGCCGGGGATCGAACTCATGTTGCTCAAGTATATTGAATTAAAGGCGGGCAACACTGAGCTATCACTAACCACAAGATGGAAAAGAAAATATATTTTAAAAATGAGCTAGACATTGTATTGGTGATATATTGAATACCACCAAATGGCATTATCGGCACGATACTGCAGCGAAGAAAGGTAGGCAAAGGGATCTAGATCACGGTACACAACGAACTGTTGGAGATATTTTAAAAATGGTAGCGCTAGAATAGCTGTATGAAGGAAGCCGGTAATATTCAGGAATGGAAAGCATTCAATGGCGGGAGACGCGAGGATATCGGCTGTGAACAGGGAAATATGAAGAAATGTCCATTCTTAGTGAAATGTCAGGTAAAGGGAACAATTTACGTTGCTGTTCAAGGAGTGCGATTTTTGTGTTGAGTGAGTTGTGAACGATTGGTCACGGGATGATTCGCCTCAAGCAGATATGTTGTAATAGGATTGCTCAAATGCAATACAAAGAACGTTGTTACGTATCGAGATTTTCGCGCTGTGATTTCTGTGATTTTCGTGACGAGATTTTTCGTGATTTCGTTTTTTTCGGTCGAGGAACGGCCGCTTAGCTTAACTGGTGTAAAGCGTCTGGGCCGCAGAAAACGCAGTTTCAAATCCCGCAGCGTCGATAGTTTTTGTACATTTATCTACAAAAAATTTATAATTATCGATGTATTGAGTTCAATTCCTCCATCACGCAATAATCCTCTCGAAGAATAGGTTGTCTTTAAAAAAAACAGTAATATTATTTTAGTAGACCGTTAGGTTAGGTTAAAATTTCTAAAAAACATAGAAACATCCAATGCGGTTAGAGTTTGGCATTGAATGGCCTTAGTATGATCTTTTGTGTTAAAAATTAAAGAAATTTTAATGGTAAGTACTGTATCACTTTTAAAATTTTATTGAACTATATTTAATAAAGGTTGAGTTTGAATTTATCCACTTTGCTTTAGTTGTAAGTCTCCTTTGTTTGTAAGAAACACCAGAAGAGTTAGAATTTATACCCTGTAAAAGTAAGAAATTTCAAAAGAAACTCAAGCAATGCCTTTGTAAAAAGCTTATTTAATTAGAGGAGCGTGCAAATATAATAAGACAAATTATGCTCCATAAATCTATAAACGATAACTTGTTACATAAATGGCAACAACAAAAATTTCACTTTAAGGTCAAAAGTTGAAGTTATTGAAAATTTAAATATTGCACATAATATCTCAATTTGCTACTGTTTAGTTCGTTAAAGTCACCAAATATCCGGTAGTTCAGTAATAACTTTATAATCCAATTAAAATGTTTTTATTGCCTTTTCCTGTTATTATGGAATGATTGGAACTATTCAGGCCTCTGGCTATGAACCTTGTCAACACATAATGAATACAGATTTAATATTATTGGCATATTAATCTTAATTAATTTAGCACATACGTATGTATATCTTTTGGTTAAAAGCTAATAAAAAACAAAGCCCATCATGATGTAGTAGCCTTGTGTATCGTCGGACTTCTTGTGAAGAAATTTTATGAAGTTAATATCTGGAAGTTGAAATAAAAGAAGGTTTCAGCATTTAAGTTTGAAATTACTATATAATGTAGTAATAAAACCTAATGGAGATTTAAAATACAACTATCGAAAGTGAAATATAAACCTTACGGTGTAACGCAGAATATTCAGGTTTTAGTTATCTAAATTAGTAAAAACATGTTTCAATGATACCTTTTAACGCTAATAATGCTAGGAAATCATTAATACAAAAGTAGGTAGTTTTACCATGGGAAATCTGCAATTAAAATTATTTAAAAGTAACATGGATAATGGCGGTTAAGTGCTCTTAAGACAAGAAATTCCCACGCTAATTGGAGGCGAAGTAATTATTTTAAATAAACATTAGGTACCATTAATACCGGTCGGACCACTTGTGTTTATTTCTAAGTTTCACTTTATTGAGCCCGCAAACATACCGATTTTAGGTACTTTATTTGAGCATTCGGGCATTCCAGAGGTGTTCACAGAATATTTTATTGATTTAATTTAATTAGGGAATTATCGAGCAACATGCAAATAGCCCCATTCATTAACATTATGACCTGCTTATCGGAAATTGATTGAAGTCGCTTGAGGTAATACGATGAATAAAATTTATGCAATACAAAGCTCTCGCGTGATTTAATCGTAAATTAACGCGTCATTCGACTTAGGTAACTAAAATAAGCATTGGTTTCATCAAGTTTATTTAGTTCGAATAATTTAGTGTAGTAATTTCTGGCGCTGTTGCTTGTAAATAAAAAAAATGTTAACACAAGATAAAACTTTTTGACATAAAGATGAAGAGTACATAATATTATTGACTATAATTGAATCACTATCAATGGTAAATCTTTAAGCAATGAATGTAATAATTATCTCAATTAATAAAGATATTTTTTAACCAACGAAAAACAAAGCCGTATAGTATAACTAATTAATCAAATATCTCACCCTGTATTCATTTTATAACTGATTTTTAAGAAGAAGAAGAAACGTTTATTCACGGTCTAAGCACAATAGATACATAGAACACTTAAAAATAATTGAAATCCGGAGCCCAAGATCCAATACCAATGAAATTAATATGGGACCACATGGGAAGCAACAGCCTTCAAATGAAAATGAATCGTCAAATTCGGTACACTCAGGCAAAAGTACTGAGGTATCAAAAAAAAAAGATACAGTCGAATTGAGAGCCTCCTCCTTTTGAAGTCGGCTAAAATAGACACGATTGTAGAACTCATAACACAGACTCTTTGAAAATATGTTGTGCATATTAATATGATGATGAAAATAAACAGTCCAATTTAGGTTCCCAACTTTAAGTCGATTGGGACGAAATAAGAAAGAGGTAGATACGGAAACCTTAGGGAGTGTAGTTACAGCCTTTACCACTCATTTAACGGCGGCTATACCCTTTTCGGATACCGTTGTGCAGACCCGTGCATTTATGGAGTAAGTTTGACTGTAAAGGGAACATTATTTCCAAATGGAACTTGATTCCGTGTACAGATGTACTCTGTGAGAGTAATTAATGAACATCTTGTTTATTCTGGGATAAAAGCTTTCTAATGAACCGTTGAACAGTCATATTAACGGGTACAGCGTTTAAAAAAACACTCGTTTTCTTTCTGGTTTTGAAAAATTAGTTATAAATATCGATTCTATTTATCACAGGATTAGTCAATATGCTATAAATGAAATGGATAAAACAACCCTCAACATTAGAACGTTTTCATACTAAGAGTATAACTAATTAACTAATTAACCGTCGCGAACAGTTGGTTCGTTTTAAAGATATAAATATGTATATTATTTACTAGAGTTTCTAAAGAAACCAACTATATTTATTTGGCTAATCACACAGTACAATAGCTTTAATGTGATTATACAGGAAGTTAATTAATTTTAAGAAATAGATAAGGATTCATTGTAATTAATTTACTTCCCTACGTGCCTTCTAAATTATTTAAACTCGTGAAAGACAATCTAAAGTTCAAATATCTGTTTTAATTAATGCACTATACTCTTGCGATAACTTTTAATAAGGATGTTTATAATTAAGAGGTTGCGAAACCACATGGAGCAACCAAGGTTCTACACTTTATATTTCGTAATTAAATAGGATTCATTTCATATAAAAAAACAGTGTTTACTGTTTCCACAGCGATTGTAAAGCACTAATGTTTTATTTTATTTAATACTACGGTATCGCACATTTCAACATTATATTTTTTCGGGCAAATAGCATTGTAATCAAAACTTTTAGTGTAGTTTTATAAATCAATGAAACTTAGGCTATAAACACAATACGATGACTATTTTTTAAATTACCGAGAACATAAATGTTACCGTAAAGTATACGCTCGTAAAAATATAGCATGCGAGATCACGACACAAAAAGCCTCATTAAAAAGCTCCCCTGAAACAACTATAAAAAATAACTAGATAAAGGGTCTAATGTCACTTAACGCGGTCCACGCGATTATGTACCTCAGTACTCAACGAAAAAGCACCAATGTTGCGTGCAACACATCCCACGGGGCCACCACTCCCGTACAAAACGGCCCAATTATTCCGCACTTCACGTATGACGTCACAACGCGGTCTATAAATTAAGAATGGAAAGTTCTACTCACGCAGCAATGCTTTTCGATAGCGGCCAGCGTTCCATAGAAGCCTGGTACTTCATGTTTTCGATCTGCTTTTTCAGTGCCTCTTTGTCCATGGCTGCGAGAATACTGGGATCCATCGCGCAGAATCTGTGGTATAAAACACCCACACACAGGTTAGTTAGTAAATATACACGTATTGGGGCGTCAGTGTGCCCGCATGTACAGGTCGTTAGAAAATGCTTAAGGTCCTATTTTATTTTGATTTCTTTTTACAATTTGAACGTAGTATATGAATCATCTATTGACCGTGATGACATATAAGGTCGTTATTATTTCTGTACAAAATAACATTAAATCAAAATATTGCTTCTGCTATAACAGTAAGTCAATAAAAACAATGAAATAGGTAAATAATACTTAATTCTTAGTCTTAAATTTTCTTTATTTATAAAATGCGTATCTAATGGGTACTTAATCTTATGCAGATTTTAAATGCTTTCAAAAATTTTTCGTTTTAAGTTTAAAATATTATATTTTAAATTTAAAACCGCAAATAAACATACACATATTTGTAAATAAATTTAAACGGTACTAATTTTAAGAGACATTTTGAACCGACTGTACAAATAATCCATCTCGCTCGTACAACAAGGGGAAAAGTTTCGATAGTGTGCGTCTGTGTATATATGTGTATCTGTGTGAGTGATGCGCGCGCATGGTGTTACAGTTTCTATGACAACCCCTCTACGCACACTCGGGTCGTTTTGCGCAAATTTAGTTAATGCCGGTATCGAATCAAAAGCTCTGTGGCTCAAGATTTAGGGTGCACTTTGTCTTATCACGATAAGTGTAAAACTAATGAATTAAGCGTAATGCCCCGTAGTCGCCCGTGTTTCGTATTCCATTATTCTTCGTCTGTTGTGCGCTACCACAGTAGCGCAGCATATGGCATTAGTACACACCATTTCAAACCTTGAGCTTCCGGCGTAGAGGTGATAATTGCGTCTACGTTTACGTTAAGTAAAACAAACTATGCCACCATTCTTAGCCTGTACGGTGCTCCGATTAACATACATTCGAAGATTATTTGTAAATTTAGCAATTACCGAATACGCTACATAAGCGTTCATGTAACGTAAGTTAACCATGGAATTTTTTAAGTTATTCCCCTAACATCTACCGGCTTCTTTAAATTCATAGAGAACTTGATTGCTTACATTAGTCATCTAAACTCGGCTCGTTCCATGCTATATTTCAATTTAAGTCCGCTTTTTGAATTGTATTTTAAGTTTTTATAATAGTATTTTTTTTTGCACTAAAGATGAAACATTAAACTATTTTTTTAAAAGTAAAAAGCCCTTCAGCTTGGTGGTTAAAGCGTCTGGGCGCGATTTTAACTTCAATTCCTGGTGCGGTGAGGCGGTTTCGTCAATTTTTCTATAAATTTTTTATGTGAAGTCCGCTTGTTAATAGATGAAATTATATTTATATTTTATGTGAAAAGTTGACAAGGCAGTAGTAGATGTTAAGTGATTTCTGCCGCCCATGGACATCTTGCAGAGCTTGCAGATGTATTAACAAAACAAGTAACAAATAGTGGATCCCGGCTACCTTACTCACTAGACGAAACGTATTTTTATATCACTCAACCTAAAATAAAGCCAAAGATTCCGTTTTTAATTTCCAAAGGTTTCATCGCGGGAAACAAAATGGGAACCCCCATCAAGGTGATTTAACATGGACAGTCAAAAAGTGTCAATTACTTAAGCTTCAACCAAAGCAAATATTAATATGAGGCTGAGGTATCCCAACGAAGGACTACAGTGACCTGAATTACTTCTGCCCTTTTTAATTAAAACAGAAATTCTTTGGAGACAAATTTATTACATGTTTTGCTTTATGGGACCGGCTTACGTGCCTCGGGCCGTAAAAATATGAATTACGAGACTCTCATGTAATGAACGAAACTTGGAGTGTATAGTTTGTTTCGAACTACACACGAGTAATAAGTATTTTATCTATGCGTAAGATTTATAATATTCGCTGTAATATTAACCGACAACTATAGGGCACGTGCCCGCCATTGTTGGACATAGCGGTGGTGATTGTGGTATCAGTGAACCAGACGCCTGAGTACAGTAAGTTCTTTCTTTACACCACAGTTATTTTTATTAAAATATAGTACTTTTACTGTGGCGGGGCCAGCCGTACGCTGTTCTAATGTTAAACGATGGACTGGCTCATCTGGGGAAGTACCACTGCTTCACACAGTTAGTGCAACCACAAACACCATAGTTCGTCCTCGCCTACAAGCACAGCGAAACCAACCCAACACAAGGCGTGCACCAGGTAAACCCGCGTTTCAGGGCGGTCTTCACCGCCCCCAGTCACCGATTAACCAAGCACAGTCAACGGACATCGGGGTCACGGTCCGCAACATACCTGTATAGCCCGTATGCGACACTCCGTAATTTACGCACGCATGTGCACATGCGCGGCCCTACCCAGTGGAGGGCCGGCAAGGGCCCTACTGTGGAGGGCCTAAAACCCGTGGTTTCTGTCTAGCCGACGGGTTCTGCGTTTGATGAAGCGTTAATAGTCTACGGACTGAAAGCTAACTGCAGTTACAACATAAACAAACATAAATATCCACGGCTTCAAAGAAGAAGAGTGAAGTGAGTGAGTAGAAGAATTATACTTTCGCGTTTCGCCTGCTAAGTGAGGTAACTATTTTATAAAAGGGCGTCAACGCATCTGCAATCCCTCAGATGTTACACATATCCATGGGTGGAGTAATCACTTAACATCAGGTGAACCGCCTGCTCGCTTGACAACTTTTTACATTAAAAAATGTGTACTATGTACGGATTCATCTATAGCGGATGTTGGTGCTTAATTATCAATGTTTAAAAAAAAACATTGCCCTTACTTTAGGATAACATTATCCTGTCGTTTTACAAACATAAATTTCACACGGACAAACACAAAGATGCGAAACAACTATCTGTGGGTTACACGAATAGTTGTCCCGTGTGGGAATCGAACCCACGACCCTTGACGGTACTGCGCCGCGGAGTCAATGTAAATTTACTTTGCTTTGTATTTGCTTTCCTGGATTTCTTATACGCCAAAATAAGTGCTTACATTTATTGTTACTTACGATAAAATACACATAAGGTAAATAAATAGCTATACTATCTATGTTTTCAGTTTAAAGTTAATGAAGTAAGCGATTATTTGAATTCACGCTTAGCAGCGTGCAACACGGTTCTTATTAATATGGGATAATATTAAATTCAAGAGAAATAAAAGAGCCGTGATAGCTCAGTGTCCGGGCGCTCGCCTTTAAATCAATATACTCGAGCAACCTGAGTTCGATCCCCGGTGCCGGCACCAATGAAGTTTTTAACTTTAAGTGCTGACTTATCACGTGCTCCGCGGTGAAGGAAAACATCGTGAGTATATAGCCACAAAATTGTGTGATAATAACAAAAAAAAATATTTCGAAGATATGTGAAGTCCGCTAATCCGCAGTGGGGCCGCGTGGTGGACTATGCCCTGATAACCTCTATATAGAGGAGGCCTTTGCCCAGCAGAGGGACATGTATAGGCTGTTACTTTACTTTTTTTTTTAATATTAAATCTGTATATTCTCGTGAACTAGAGTGCCACTCAGATGATTATTTTATAGTTGGTACCAAGTTCTTTGACGTCAATTACATCCGTGTGGTCACTTAACACTGTAAACATTAATTTAACTGTGGTACGAATTTCTGCGCGTATTTGACAAATTGAAGTTTAAATATATTTATTCAATACAGAATACTTAATGGTTGTGAAGACTGCTTGCTACCAGTTCGGAAAAGAAAAGCCACTGACCTGAGAAGAACCGGCGAAGAAACTCAACGGGACAATTGTATCTAATACAATTTATGTTTTTAACTGTGTTTTCTATTCATGCGGTCCGATTAATCCAGCAAGGCTCGTAAAATATCCAATACAATTTTGAAACTGTGTATGTATTTGTGAAAGGACTTTAAAATTTTTATTTTTAATTAGTACATTTATAATTTAATTATTAAGTATTATTAATTAATTATAAAAACATATTGTTATTAAGAGCGAAGAAAGACATATTATTTGTATTAATGACACTATTCGTAAGTTTTATTTCTAGACCTAATTGCTTTAATATTATGTACTTAACAAGGAGAAATTTTTCTACAAATTAGTATTTTCGTTTTGCGATAATGTGTTTTCCCAGTACAGTTTTGGATAGTATAACATTTACATATAGTGTCCAAAAATATTCACGCTGTATTATTCACTAAAGTAATACGCTATTTAATAAACATTCATATCTGTAATCCATTAAGCGATAGCAGTTGTAGCAATAATAGATAACGAAAGAACAACACGAGTGCCTATAAAAAGAAAATAGGATCAGTTCGCCTTGTGGAACAGTTTGAATTGTTCACTTGTATTTTCACTACAAAGATGACGTCATAGTTTCGGAAGCGGCCGTATTGCTTTTTCTCGTGTTTTTTTTAATAATTGCTAATGCATGCGTGACTCAATGATACCTATGCTTTCGACTAGCTTTATTTGAATAGTATACTGACAGATAGCGCAATCGTGAATTGAAAAAATATTTAAATCAAACAATACCCTAACACCATATAATTGTAACGGTTCTACGTATATACATAATATATACCATTATCATGTTCTTTAATTTCTTTTTCAATCATATCCTGATGCCTTTCAAATGTAACGTGTCTACGACTATACATCGTGTTCTCTCTTTCCTTCCTCTATCTTTCTTATCGTGTGTTCTCTGTCTTTTCTTATCGTGTTCTCTATCTTTCCTTAGAAGTTAACTACAAAGTCTCGAAAGCGTAGTAGCTACTAAGCTGTCGGCGGTTAGTTAACTTGTTCCTACTCATTTAATCCCTTCGTGTGAGGACTGCAGTCGGGCCAACTGACAGTTTGATGGGACTTAACTAGGCTACAGCCGGCGTATCTCAATCAATACACACCAATGCTTAACTAAACACGAATGGAGAGTCATCTTTGTTAGATTTAAATCTTAATGGTAATTGAATTAGGAGATTTATCTATTCATTATATTTCTCTG